ATTGTGACACCCACTATGCAGTTAACCAAACTATAAATGACTCTAATCACTTACAATATAAGGCTTAATTTATATTAAAATGGAGTAATGTAGCTGCATTCTATTTTTTGTCAGCGGTATGTTTTTTTTGCGCAATGATAGCCTCCGTTCGTGAATATTCGGAGGTGTCAGGAATTAGAGCGTTTTGTCTCCAGTTAATGGTAGAAACGTGACTATATAAGGTGTCCATAATTTCACGATAATGTCCTCCGTCTAACGTGACAATGACCGGTGAAATCCTATTGAAAGTTTACGGTTAATTTATTGCTTTGGAAGAAATTGATGAACGTTTGCCTTAGTACTGCCGACTGATTGAGAATAGCTAATCCTCGGTGAATGATGTAGATTGTGAACGTTCCTATAAGTGTCATATTAAATTGCAGATTTAGCGATACAAAGTCTGTTGCTTATCAAAAAAGTCTACAATCATAATGAGTTATAGTTTTTATTACCGCAATTAGAGTTTGAAATTGACGTACAGGCGAATTATGCAAATTCGAAAATTCCATGACGCAAGAGCAAAAATGTCCCGCTTTAGCTTTAAAATCTATCGTTTATGCATCTATCGTTTTTAAATGTAACAACTGTGCGGGCGACACAGTGCGACAAATACAAAAATACGACTTAGAAGTCACCCCACTTCTTAACTTTTTTGTGTTTAGTGCTTTGATTTGTGTTATTCAATCTTCTATAAACTTGTAAAACTCCCAAAACTTTGTTTTATTTTATAATTCCGGAGGTTTTTTTTTTAGAAGTATTCCTCAGTTGTCCCGCTTTGGCACAGAAAATAAATGGTCACGTTATGTATACCGAAAAATAAAAGCACATTAACTCAACCCCAACCACCGCTGATGTGTAACACAAAACAAGACACTATCTAATCGCATCGGCGAAAAAAAAACAATGAAAAAAGAAAAAAGCAACGTTCCGAAATAAAAGTCCGGTGGATAACACAGGAAGCAATGCTTTTCCGTAGCTGATAAACTAGACAAGTGAAGGAAACGTTGGAAATGTGAACAAGATGTATGGAAAACCCTTAAGAGGGTTGCTTTAACTGAATTTAGCTTTTTTTCGCCGAACGGAAATTTTTCCGCATCGTCCGACGTAAGCATTTGGTTAAGTGATTTGTTAGGCTAATTAGATGAGGGTTGAAGGCTTTTTGAATTTCATACCGACTGCTATCTACCGATATTACATACATACTACATTCAAGTACATTACTTACTTACTAAAACAATGATTTGTCGACATCCTGCCACTTATTCTAAAACAACGGCTATATTTTAATCATTTGGCAAACCAATAAATAAATCTCATTGAGAAATGATCTAACAGAAATCACACACCGAATTAAAAACACATGCGTTTCGAAACATGAAAAGCCTTTTGTGATATGCATAAACAAGCCGCCATTAAAATGGGCTAACCTAACCTAAATTCAAAGATACATAGCACATAGGTACGCAGTAAGATCAACGGTCCAATTTGGCGCAGGCGTACGCGCGGGTAAATAAGCGCTCGCAAATTGTTATCTTGTGAAACGAGACGTGTGATTCGGGCAACGACGCGTGATCCCTGCAAACCGCGGTAGGAAACGCTCTTCAGTTAACGCTAGGGATGGCCGCTGTATATCGATAGATTTTTTTACTATGGCAGTCGTTGAAATGTTTAAATGTGTCGCTAGAAATTTGTAATTAAACAACAATAAATTATTTAATTTTAATTTTGGTTCCTCAACAAGTAGTTATTATCCTTTTGCAATACCAATTCGATTTAGTTGATTAAAAAATGTAATAAATATTCCGAGTTATTCTTGAACGGTTTCTTATTTTAAAAACCAACGAAAGTTATTCCATAACATTGTAAAGACATGGTGGATGTATCTCAAACGAATAGAGTAATAAAATCGTAATGAGACCAATGAAAAACATGTCGATATTTTAACATCACTAGCAAATTTATGAAATGTAATTTTCTGACGTGAACGAGTCACGAACATTTGTAGCTTTTCCGAGTGTACCGGGAAATTGCGATCTCTGCACTGAGCGCAAAATATGAGATCTACCCGCAGTTCGTTTAAATTGCGACCCCGAGCTTTTTATAATATACCACTGTGCACAAGTTGCACTGTAATTGGAATTTGAACAAATACTTCACGAGGTTTACACCTTGTCCTATTTTTGGAAATAGGGGATAGCAGTTTTTTAATGTGTCCACGTGCATCTTGATAAGACAAATAAATGAAGATAGACTTTTTACTTTAGACAACGAAGCAGTTTCAAGATGTCTATGTTTTTAATTTTGATCTTCACAATTTAATTCTGTATAGAACCTTAACTTTCATTTGTCTTTATTGTAATCTTACATTCCAAGCATCGATATCGACAACAACTACTTCATCTATTACAAACAACTCTTCAAATTTTTATTAAATAGATATTCTCTAACCCTTTCTACCGCTCCTTTCTATCACTACAAATTAATATCTCAGCGTCCATATTTCACTTTGGGACCCTAGTTTGTAACAAGTGTCCACACAATTGGCATCCTTGCATCCTTGACCGAGCGCCATCGATGACTGATGGCTAACATGTGGCACGAGCAGACGGCAGCCAACTCATCGGAATAGGGATAGGGCTGCTCGTCACGTCAAATTTTATGTGAATATTCTTCATATCTGGCTGTGTTGGAAGAAATAAGATATAGAATGTTTCTATGTTTTGGTTTTGCAATGAGAATGTATGCAGTCAGGATAAGTATCCCAAATTGTATTATAGAGTTTTTTTTTTGCTATGATAGGAGAATATCAACCGATATCTAGCTACTACTTTCTTAAGTCAAGATTCAAGATCAAAAAGTAAATGCTTTTGCGTATCCATTTGACTGTTCTTCAATTAATTTTGTGCATAAAGATAGGAAGGTAAAACTCTCCAAATCGTTCTACAAAATGGCAAAATATTGCTCGCATCAGCCCTAAGATGAGGGTGCTCTAAGATAATTATCTTTTTTACCGCTCGCACCCGACGTAACTTGTAATACCGTGATAAATGCCGCGTAAAGGGCTCGTCGCTGACGCGGAAACCAAGGGTACGCAGTAGGCAAACAGTTTCGTGTGATTAATACTTCACTTGTTATAACATTATGTTAGTTTCATTGCAACAGATGCTTTTTATATTTTCCAAGTAATTTTTTACAGTTTTTCCTTCAAGATAAAGAGGGATCGTGTTTTAATTTTACGCCAAATTAGCCACCTTGTTTTTCTTCTGTATTTAACGCGTTGTCAGATGTTTCGCTCGTAAATCGTTTTGTTCTGAATTGCTTGGATGTTTGTCATTTTTGTAGGTACTGTTATTTTTTACGAGGGTTTTTAATGGTTTTTTACCGTTTTGCGGTGAGACGCAGTTAGGTTTGGATATTAGTTAAATTTTACTCAAAACATTGATGAAGTTATAAACAATTGACATTAGAAATCGATTATTACCATGACACATATAAGACAATAACTCGATCAGTTATTTAATTATTCAAGGTTACAGGTCAGGCCACCCTTGTTCTCTATTTACCGAAACAATAGATCAAGTTTAAAGGCCTTTATTTAACAGTATAAACACACGGAACCCCAAAGTACACATCTTCGTAAAATAAGTGGTATTTGGAATTATGACTCAATCGTTGGTTGAGGGAAGTTTGAGTGTCTGCCCGCAAATTGTAGGTTGGGTACCCTTGATTATGGGAACCTCGTTGTAACAATGTTTACGGAAAATTATGGATCGTTTGTGGAATAGATAGGGCAGATAATGTCTGTGTCTGCCTTCAAATAGACGATTAAATGGAAATAATTTTGTTGTAGGGGTGACCATGGTCTGGTGACTAAAACCTGCTGAAAAACTATAAAATAAATAACTTATATTTACTTATTTACCTAAAGGAAAACTACACGAAAATTTCACAAAACATATGTAGGTAGGTAATTGGTTTGCATAACTCAGATATGAATAGCTTAAATGAATATTGAATGGAAATTCCCACGAGTCACAGGAAAAATATGTTTGGAAACTGATAAAACGATCGATTTATCTAAGCATGAAGTAAATCTAGATTACATACATTCTTCTTTACGTAATATTACACATATTTATGTTATACAAGGACATCTGTAACGATTTATCTACAATCTTCACCCAATTCATATTCCAAGAAAAACTGGTCATAAATAAACAGCGCGCCTACTGAAATTAATAAAAGAATTATTCAAACAAAGAAGAATAAAAAATCGCTTTAAAAACGAGATTTATAATCCCCGTATAGAGATATTTATGAAAATTAAATCATCATGCTAGGGGTCGGTTAGATTGGGGAGGTGGATGACAAATGGACAAGCTGTGACGACCCGCTACATCGTGACATGGACTAATAGCGCCATCTATTGCGGTTGCGCGATGTCCGTCCGCCTGTCAGTTGTCGATAATAACCGAGAGATGGCGATAGTCATGGCATTTTGGTGGAACGTTTTGAGTTTGTTGTAGTTTAATTAGAGATATTATTAATTAGATATCTTAAGTAATAAAATAACTACTAATAAGTAGTTATTTTATTACTTAAGATAGAAATTATATTAATTTGCATTGGGTAAGAAAGTTGTAAGTTGAATTAAGTTCGTCAATAAACATTCTACTTAGTTACAAAAAAACATCTGGTATAAATTTGAATTACGTTAATGTGTAAATTGAGTAAATTCGATTCGGTAATATTTACAATCTAACAATATAAGTGGGTAGGATTTAGTCTTCAATGGTTTAACATTCACAAGACGCTTCCTTTGTTGAACTTTCAGAAGTTCCAAAGCTTTGTACTAGATGGCGCTGTCTTCAATTTTTTGTATACTTAATTTATTAGACACAAAATAGGCATTTACTATTTTTTTTAATTAATTTCCTAATAGTCTTTTTCATAATTTCCAGGTCCGTGACAAGAATGGCGTTACTGGTTGGTGGGACGCGACCACTGAGAAGAGCAACTGGCTCAAGTTGGTTCGCTCCACGAACTACCCGCACGACGTCAACGTGCAGCACTTTTTGCGCGCTGGCCAGGTATGGTCGTTTTATGTCTTCATTTATTAAGCTGTTAAACTGTTCATGATACTTAAAAACAAAACAAAATGATGTATAGACAGAAATTGCGAACAAAACTTTTTGCAATAAGAAGTACCGATACGAAACTTTGGAAAGAAGTACCGTAATAACAATTCTGTTATTTTAAAACTATGTACCTACGTATAGATAGACAGTACCAGCAAAAAAGGCTTTTAAAATGTTCTCGAAGTACTATAATATCCCTATTCCACCCTCTTTGGAACAACTTAAAGTTCGCCTCAACTTTCAAATATCAATTGAGACTAATAACGCACAAATCAACGAATGATTATCACAAGCAACGGCTCAGCCTATTGTAGCACTACCCCAATTAAATTTGAATGTGGAACGTTAGTACTTCCGGTGGCAGAAAATCGGTGTTCGGCTGAACAACTGTGTGCCACTTCCGGTCAAAGAGGGGAGCGAACAGATGCGGTGATTAGATTCACTTACTTGTACCCCTGTATAGGTTAAATGGTATATGGAATTTAAATATACTGCTTCGAAATATGAATGTTTAAAATGTTTTGAAGTTAGAGTATACCTATACATGTATGAAATTTTAACTTGGTCTTGTAGGGTGCTATAAAGTAAACAGGAACTTAATAAAATGTTGTGTTTGATGCCATTTTTACTGACTTCTAAAAAAGGAGGTACTATGTTCGGATGATTGCTTTTTTTATCACTTATGTTTTTATCTATAACTATCAATTAAGCTTTGGCAATGTCATTTACCAATTAAAATGTTTTATTGTGTTTTCTAAAGATTAGCTTTGCCGCGGAAGTATATATTACGACTTATCTATTTCTGCATATAGAAAAAGGTCTTACAATTTCTTTTCTCATAGCTTCAAGAAATTAATGTCATGTGTTACATAATTTCAGGTGTGGTACAAAGTTGTCCGTGAGGTTCCATCTGGACAGGAGCTGCTGCTTGGACCCCGCACACCTTTGTACTTAGAAGACATCTCATTGGACTCAAGTACGTACACTGTGTTTGTTTTTTTGATAAAGATTTTACTAGGCTTTGTCACAAGGTTGCTTTTGATATAAACTCTATTCCTGACTTCAATGAGTGGTTTAAAGTATTCAAATAATAAAGCACATTTCGGTAATGCATTCAAAACGTTTCTTCAACTTTTACCTAGGTACTAAATAGTAGACATTTTTTAACTTTCAAAAGTATGACAGATAGACAGTGTGCTCTGTGACAGCTGTTGTCTTTATATAGTAGGTACAATATAGTGTTGGCGCCATCACGTACTAATGTACTGATGTTCATACTTGTAACAGTATAAAACATGAACTCTGGAACGACAGAAGCTTATTTTTGCAAGAACCCATAGTCAGTTAGTATATATATAATAACTTTCAGTACATACAACAAAACAAAACCAGGTAAACACAGTACATACAAAAACATACATAGGAAGGTACATACATATGTATGTACGTAGTTTGGGACTATCAGGGCAGCAGTTGAATCACGGTCACGCGCATTCACGCTTCGTTGACACGCGGGGTGACAGTTAATTGGAGTCACCTGCCCTCTGCCCTCCAGTGGACGGCGACCCTTGACGACTCATTATATAGTTCAGATACAGGCTGGTTTTAAAACAGAAGATTGAGTTCTTAGTAACTTTACCTACGGCTGGTTTCATTACAATAACTGTAACTTGTGCATATTTGCTTAACCGCTTGAATACACCGATATGAGACACAATAGAAAATAGATTATGTCTCGCGTGGATCTACTTTTAGGCACACGACGGGTATAGAATATTGTAACGCATAGTTTATAAATCGTAACTTATCAATATCATTAATCTATCTCCTGTTAGAAGATCGGAAAATAGGTACATATGCTGTTAAAACTGGCCGTTTAGAACAAAAACTAGATTTTGCTTGTGAGTCGGGAGTGCGTTTACAAACATAAACATTTATATACACGTCACACCCAGACAATTCAGAACATTGTGTGATGCAGCCAGCTTTTAATTATAATAAAGCATTGAGGAAAACGAAACACAATATTCTAATAGGATCGTTATGTAGTTCAAATTATTACAATTGCATACAACAGATATTCCGCTATTAGTCATCACGGATGAATTCATTCACGACTATTGAATTGTATCAATATATATTTAAATTGGTAAATCAAATGACATCATTGATCCTACATTCCTGTATTGGAATTGTCTCTAAATAAATTCTCTTAGGTTATATATTTTACTTACAAAGCTCATGATGAGGTAAGAAAACATATTTTAATTTGTAATTGCATACTCCTATTTGTGGATTTAGACAATATTTTAAGAATAGGCTTAATGGTTCAATTAAAGAGTTTAGGTATTAAGCACTTATTTACCTACTTACAAAAAAGAATCAGGCTGTATACAAAAATATCTTAGGGTTCGGACACACCGGCGCACCGGTGCCACGCGCGCATGCGATATTTAATTTAGATAAATCGCGACGTACGCGCCGCCGTCGATGTGAAAAATCACGCATATATGCTTTGTTGCAAGGGTGACTTTTTCAACTGTTTGTTTAGACTGGAAGAGACAAGATTGTTTTATTTGTTTGAAAAAAATAAGCGGCTAAGTTGTTCGAATCCTGCAGAAACTATAGAAAGAAACTGATATTACATTCTCCTATATGGAGGTAATATGTCAGATGTCATGACGGCAATTGAGAAACCTGATGTAATTTCATAGAATCTTAATTTATCTTTTAAAATTATATGGCTTAACTTCTACTGAAGTTAGTTTTAAAAAAATCCAACGCTTTAACACTGCAACAGCAACAAGTTCTCATTAACAGCCAGAAGCGCGGTCAATCGCTCTCACATATCCTAAGCCACATCTAGCAACCGTATGTCAACCGGTACGGGTCTTCAGTGCTTCCTGTAACGGCTTCCGGCACGGACCGGCGGCGTCACAACCGACACGGTCCCGGTGATTTATGCGATTCCGATTGCACGTAATAACCACCTTGGTCTAATTACGAATTGACTTTGTATTGCGTTCGACACTTGGAGTATATTGTTACTAAATTGCAGTTACAATGTTATCTATTTGAGGACCTGATTATAGACGAATTGGAATTAGGTACATTATGCTATAGAGTAGTAATATTTAATAACAAAAAGGATAATTAAGACAAAAGTGAAAAATGTATTTTAAAGTATGAGCATTTACTATAATGTACAAACAACAAAACGTTTATAAGTAACCAACCGAATTGAAGTAAACAGTCCATTAGCGAAATAAAATTTAATAAACAGCTGACGTAACGATTGGACAACAGTACAACAGTATAGTGGTCACATATTGAGGGATCATTTACTTCAATAACCACAACTCAGCGCCCACATTCATCACAGACACATGCAGCATGACAAACCAATATAACACACAATGACTCTTAAATATACGTAATTAGAAACTATTTGCAGTCAGCAGTCAACATTTGTTGTTAAGCTCGCCTTGCACAAGACTTGATTGATGGACTTTACTCCCAGCAGAGGCCACCTATAGCTCCATTCATTGAATAATTTCTCGATAAGAATGCCTTTTTGCGAAAGGATTAATACCGTACGAGATAGGATTTTGAATACATTTATTCCTACATGACAATGGTGATCGATCGCCTCAAGATAATTTATAACCAAATATTTCGGTGCGTTTTTTAGAGCCTTTACCGATCTGTTACGTAAGGCCAGCCACCTTAAAATTCTATAGATAAGAGATAGTAAAGTCATAAATAATGACACAGATTTATTGGAACATTAATGTTTTCTAAAAGGTCATTCTAGTAATCCTAACCCCATTCCTGAGGTAGGCGTTTAAAGTGTATGAATTTTAAGTGGCCTAGCTTTTTACGAGTTCAGATTGTACGAATTCTTAGAGTTGTTAATATTAAATTGTTGCGGCGTAAATACTAGAGCGATTGCAATACGAAGTTCACAAATAAAATAATCTTTGCTCAGATCTAGTTTTTCAATCCATCTCCTGTCATACGCAATAACAATGATGTGGAGTTAACCCTTCATTGGCTGTATTTTTTCAAATAGTCGCGTGCATTCGTGTGCGTAATGAATGAGTGTCGCGCGTTGACATTTGTCATCGCGCAATTGTCGCGCAGATTAAAATTGATGACGTTGCTTTGTCCGACTGTGCACTGCGCACGCTTTGTGTTCTATAGCAGTTATCTCGGTTCGTGATTATAATTTTTCATATTGATAACAAAAAAAAAGATTACGTAGGTACATTGATTAGAATCGATATTTTGTATGTTTATTTTCTTCGGTTTTAGATCTAATTATAGTTGCAAAATAATATTTTTTGTGTCTATTATACATGTAAATGTTAGCTAGAATAAGATTATACGTGTAGATTTCGCACTTCTATAAACATGGAATAAAAGTATACCTTGATTATTTTATACTCCCTTGGGCAACGAAAATACTAGTAAACATAAAAGTAGACAAATAACGAAAAGCAAATTATTCATCTTATATTGCACAAACAAATGCAAAAATTGAAACGTCACACAATCGTAACAGCTCCCTAGCAAACAGGATGATTAATCAAAAAATTAACCAACGACAATGGTTCCACCCTCCATTAAACCGGCGACAATCGCTCGGCGTCCCACATCGCGTATTTATTTAACAATCAAATAAATATTACGGACAATAAAATAGAAATATTTCAATTTAATAACACCGCCCCCAGTGAAGGGTTGAATCTGGTTCGGTAGGAGCCTGCTTTGTTAGCAGATTAGATCGCTCACTATCTTGATGTCATGCAAAATTGAATAATTTTTACACCACAATACATTATGACGCGTGTCCAGACATTTTTGTTTTGGATTTTATTTTTAATCCTGCAGTTATATTTTTTGGTTGATTAATCTGATGTGTGGAGGTAATATTCATGTTAATTTTAATTCGCAGCGAATAAATATTTATGAAAAAAAAACTATGGATAATTCTTTGGCGATTACGTTAATAACTTTTACGTTATCAATAACTGGGCTTGGCACTCAAAAGAAATTCAAGTACCTAAAATTATTTTCGAAAATTCAATTAAACCTACATAATCTGCCTTAAAGATAGCAGCTTATATTCTTAATATGGAGTAAAATAAGATCGGAACAGCTTATTACGAATTTAATTTTAAATTTTATTTAAATGGTAAAAGGATCGATATATTTCCGTCAATATCTTTCACCATGCATCAAGGCAGGCTCTGACCGAGGTACAAATGTGCGAGGCATACTGCGACCGTTTTCGCCTTCGGGTGTAACGGTAAGATGCGCGTGCGACGCACCTGATGCGAAGCCACAGCCTCCAGCGCGAATAGGACCTATTTCCACGCAGGAAGCGAACCTTGGACTAACAGATTATCGACACGATTGTGTTCTAGAACACGGGATATTAAATTGAATTGTTTTGCGGCGATGATTTTATAATTTATCTTATGAGGTCGTTGAGTTACTTTGTAAAGCGCTAGCTATAATTTATACATGTATATTAAAATTAAGTAGGACTTTAAGACTATAGTAGTTTATATGGTTATTTAGATACTAAGAAAAATAGAGAAAAGTCAGAATTTTTGAAGAATAAAAAATAAAAATAAATAAAATAAAATAAATAAAATTTATTAAAAACAACATAGAACACATTTAGAATTACAGTTCGCTCAGATTTTAAAGTAATAAAAAGTCTTAATAATAACACTCGAATAGTTTACTTAATCTAGTCTTATACAATATACCTACATGCGAGGAAATAACGTTCTAAGTATATATAGGGAAACTGCGTTGTAGTCTCTAATTCCACCAAAAGGCATCAACATTTCATTCTTAATTAAAATAACTGACTTTTAATATCAAAACGCACGTTAACACTTACAAATTGCGAGAAACAACAGGTGTAGTCGTTTGGGGTGAGTTTCATTAGGAAATCGGTAAGTCACCGTCACGGTGCGCGCGCGCCGCTCTGACATCTGTGACGTCGTCGTCGTGGGAAAACTTAACGAACACCCACCCTGCCTTGTGCGCAAATTGCATTTTTATTTCGGTGCCATATTGTTTTACTTGACTTTTGTAGTTTAGTTTTTGTGTGGGAAAAAATTGAGCCTGGTGTAATAAAAGGCGAAGTAGATTGTTGGAGATTTTAGATAAATAGTATCTATCATGTCTTTGCGGTTTAGTCTTTATTTTTGGAAGTAACCATTTGTAATAATTTAATTTAATATTAATCTTGAATTTAATATATTTAACTTAATTTTTGTAAATAAATAATTTGTAATCAAAAGTTAGGAGGTGATCTTTAACTTCATTGTAAAGTTATCAATTTACTCTAAAGTTTCATATGATAGTATGATATTTTCTGGTCATTTGACAAACCATCTCAGTTTAGTTAAAATAATCTCCGGAGAATAGTGAATAACTTTTCATGTCATTTTATTTAAGAGGAGTCATGATTATTTTTAAAAACTGAATCAAATCACAACACTTTCCAAATATAACCCTTAACTCTCAACAGTCAATTACAACTACAACATTTAAAACTTTAAAACCACAAACGGTGGAGTTGTCACGCACAGATGATTTTCCATATTTCCCCACAGGCGGGTCAAGTGAGCATATTAACCCACACAGGTGGGGTGGGGGTGTGACCGGCCCCCTGATAATTTGTAACAAAACACTTCAGTACAGTACTGACATCGCACATAGATTTACCTCTGACCTATAGTGACATCACTGGTGATCCCGTGTCATCTTTGGGATCTTTTCTATTTTTGACGGTTTTTTTTGAGGTATGTAGATTTTTTTGGTTGATTTTTCGGATTGTAGTTATTCGTGTTTTTTTATTAAGTAATATGTACCTTATCGTATTTTTTATTTTGTTCCATTTCATCGGTTTTATTTTGTCTTCATTGTGGTGTATATAAATGCAAAAGTTGAATCCTGATTCGAAGTTCAAGTGCAATCAATTTTCTATTATTAAAACTTAGAGTTGTTACAATATTTTTTTACCGTGTGTAAGAACTGAAATTTGCAATGTAATATATAGCATAGAAACTATTTCTACACCGCTTGCCGTCTACATCCCTAACGGCTTATTACAATTACTACATACAAAAAAACCATCTTTGATCCCGATTCATATTTATGCGATGATATCACAAGTTTATCTTAGCCTTGCCTTATCACGGCTCGTTAGACAATGCTTGAGGCGTGGTGTCGCTCGTCGTGACTCGAATTAATTCTGCATGTGTCAATGCGAGCCATTTCATACTTCCGAGGCCCTGTTCGTGATTCTATACGTTTGTACTGACAAACATATGACATGTCCTACGTCCTGCCCTATTATTAACGTCGGATATATGATGTTTCCTAGAGTACATAATTGTTCTATGGGGTTTACGTCAATTGAGAATTAGTTTGTAGTTTCAATTTTGATTTACTTGTATGTAGTATTCAGGAAGTGATGTCTGTAGGAACATTTATTTCATAATATGCCTTTATTAAAATTATATTATGTAGAAAACCATGAACATTTCTAAGTTGTATAATAATAAAAGTCAACGAATCATTGAAACGAATTATTGTCTTATTTTTGCGTTAGCGTAAGCGTCTATAGATATAACTTGTAACTTTGATATGTAACTTATATGATTGTGAAAACAACAAACCTGTATTATGTAACCATATTCAGTTGCAATATTAAAACAGATAGCATTTATTTTTAACTATTTATTTTCTTCATATACTTAATTATACTTTTCATTACAGAGCGCCAGTCTTCGATTGAGAAGTTCAGCTCTTTGCCACCAGCAGATGACGACGAACGAGAGGACGCTGACATTCGCTGTAGCTACTGCGACCTGCCATTCCCTAACATCGATGTGTAAGTAATTTAACATATTATTTAAATGCAAAATAAAAATATCTGGGGCCTAAACAGGGTTATTGGGACTAGGAATTAAACGTAAGCTACGGTTCGTATGTACAATGTGTTGAATAAAAGAATTTCATTTTTATTTCCAATTTTAACGTAACTGTTCTTATAGTTGGTCCTGATAATTTTCCATCTTTTATAAAAATACGAAACTCAGAATAAAACGACGAATGATGTAATTGATAATCTTACCCATAAATCAAAATAATAATTTCATTCATAATCCAAGTTTGTCTTAGTTTTATCATCAGTATTATGGTTTCCTGATACCATATAGGTTTATTGCGTCTAAGGTCCCAGGTTTATAAGGGATACTCGCTAAGCCGTGCGATAGACGATATGATTGTATCGCCCCGTAACTATTTATATCGGTCTAGGAAATTTATTGAGCTCTAACCGGCTTAAGTGGCTACTAAATAATTCTTATCAAAACCATTGTTCCACGCATTAACATTAAACAGTTTATAATATTGCCTTTGTAACACGTCATTGATGCGTATCTCTTCTATTTTAAAATATTCTGCTTTTGTACAAACGTACCAAAGGTGGTTAATGTCCAACCGACAAATTAAATTCAAATCAGTCAATCGTGCATCCCATCTAAACGGTCCATTCAAGATGTCTGCCGGTATACGCAGAAGTCTATCAATTTCAAACGTCTTCGAAACCATTAACCTCCTGCCATTAATATTATTTGGTCGTAGAAGAGCGGCTGTAACGATTTATTTAGTGCTAGTGATGTGCTCGTTCGATAAGACGCACCTCGATGATTTGTTGCCGGTCGGGTCGATGGCACGCGACGATTCCGCGTTTTTGCTGTACCGAGCAAATGGTGGCTCCCGTTCTACAGTACTTCATGACAGGCATTCCTTATATTCTCTTCGATACATCCTAAAAATAGCTAACCCACCCATACCAATCAATCAATGAAACTATGAAAACAACTAAAAATTGCTGATAAAATCAGTAACACAAACTAAACGTCTCATCACGAATGAAAATATATCATGAATTTATTATCTATGTGACAAGCGATGGAAGGCCATAATGGCGTGTGTCATCATATTCTATCGAAGCGCGGGCTCGTCAATAATGCAGGAGATCGAGATTATCGACATGCACCGTTCTAACGTATCCTCGTAGTGACGCAGTCCTTATCGCGCCATCACTATTGTTTTAAACGTTTACCACGTTTCTAGGGCATCAGGAGATCGATTAGTAATTAGATGTGCGCTACATTGTAGCTTTTTATATTTTATAGACTACGTAAAGTGGGAAGATAATATTAAATCACTTAGATGCAAGACCAAGATAATTGAACTAGGTCTACTAGTACTGAATTCTATCAGGAATTTAGCTGTAAACCTGTCTTCAGTAGACATCAGTATCGCATTAGGCGAAGTGTCGTATCGTATCATACAGTAGTAAAATCTTTATTGATGTATTAAATTATAGTGTCACGTTCGTTCCGAATACTTGTTCGGGCGTATTATAATGCATCATGTGGATTACGAAATCTCATTGTAATCACTCTTATCGGATCTCTTTCCACTCTTACTTTCGTCAGAGTGCTGTCACAATTGGAATGATCATCGCCGCTGTCACACCTTGAATCGATATCAGATCGATCAGGTAGCGATTGCGAAGTCGAACACTAAAATTACAGGCTACAGCTACAGGCCAACGTGATCGGATCTATGTACAATCATTATTATTTGTCTAACGCAGATTTATTTTTATTCTTTGTCTAGTTTTGAGCACCTAATTCAATATGGAGGTGGTAATTTTGAGAAATTAAACGTGTACGGTAATTTGATATGGTCAATTAGTTTTCAAGGAACTTTGATGGATATGCTAGTCTGGATTATATAATTGGTGATTAACATGCTGTAATAACGGGTTCGTTTACATGTGGTACATGGAGAATCAGATCGCCTCGGTGAATACTATCGATACTATCTATTCGAGCATGGACTAGCCACGGTATTTCTCAACCGATTGTAAGCGCTAGTCGGGATCTACAATCGATTATTAAAATGTAAGCACGTTCGTCGGTAGTACATCATTAGTCTGAGCAGAGTAGCTAAAATGGCGCTCAACGCTATATTCCAACTAAATAACAAAATTTATAATACTTAAATGAAAACAAACGCACTTTTATAGAAATTGATTTTGAACTGAAGAGTGCAACTATTAACCCGTTGCTTCGTGACATACAATGCTTACTTATATCCTCTTTACATATGATCTAATGACAACAGTTGAACAGTCGACCAGATAGTATATTGCAGCTAAACCAATATTTAATTTTCTATGCATCCTCTTCCGACTTTTACATAAAAGATCTTAGAAAAATTTAGCGTCATTTTAGCGTTCAATTGTACAGTGGCTTGTGTGGGCGGAGCTTAATAGATCGGCTTGGAACGAAAGTTGTTCATTGGATGTTATCAATTGGTGAACATGTAGATTATTCCTATGATCGGCGGATATCAGTGTCTACAGCATGTGTCAGTTTCGATCTTAACTGCGGACGTAATGTTTCTACTAAGTAGATTAAGCACACGCTGTCTATGAATGATGTTTTATTAATAGTATAAGCGAAGGACTGGACAGATATGGGAAATGTCTGTCAAAATGTAAATGTATTTTTCTAGTGCGATGTTTAAGTAGTATGTGGTTCGAAATGTCCGACACAGATTTACTTCTGAAGAAGATATGTCCATATTGTTAAACTTAACAAAGTTTAAGTTTACTCATTTTTAAAAATGAAAATGTATCACAAAATTATCACTCTTCTAAATTATCGCAAAGATATTAGCCACATGTTCCAAAAAAACGTCCTTCTATGGCGCCATCAATACCACAGTACAGCCTAGCGTTATCAAATCAATGTTCAATTACAACGAACAGACAGAATGGAACACTTTCAATTGTTATAGAATGATGCAATAACCTATTAAATGATACAACTGTTCTAAAGGAATCGTTTACTTAGATGATGTTATGAAGTAATGAAAAAAAGCCGAATGGCCGAAGTTTGAGATCGTATGCGCAGATAAATACTTGGGCAAGTAAGCCCTGAGGCTATGCGTTGTTTCTGTTGCGCGTGCGTCGATTACGAATCTACTGAACAGTGTACAATGTACCTCAGATCATATGTTGCAAATTGCACGATATGAACCAATATAATAGTACTATTAACGGTAACGGGCGCATCCTAGATTTATTATTCTGCAATACACACGTAGAGACTTATATTCCAAATATTTCGCTCCTTCCCATTGATTCCCACCATCCAGTCTTCTGTTCATTAATACCTTTTAGAAAGCCCTCATTCTTAACTAAACATATCAGCCGAAATCCACTTAATTATCATAAGTCTAATTATCCTGAAATTAATTCCAAAATTAAGGGCGTTGACTGGCGTGGTCTCCTAGGAGAATTACCCCCCGAGGAAGCCGTATCTATTTTCTACGAAAAAATTTACGAAATAATAAAATTACATACCCCCATACACAAATCTAAAAACTATAACTTTCCGAACTGGTTCACTAAATCTCTAATGAATATACTTAGACAAAAATCCCACGCATGGACAAGATGGAAAAAATACAGAAATATTAACGACTATGAATTATTTTCTTTGTATAGAGCAAAATTTATAAAAGATGTCGCCTCTTGCTATAAGAAATATATAAATACGGTGGAGGATGGCGTGTCTACCAATGTCAAAGCATTTTGGTCATTTGTGTCTAGCCGTAAATCCAGCAACAAGATTCCTCCCATAGTATACTACCAACAACAATCTTCGAATGATCCCACTACGATTTGTAATCTATTCTCTGATTTCTTCCATTCAGTATATGAACCCTCTACATTCAACCATAATTCATGGAAACCACCACCCGCTACTTCCGATAATGATATTAATATCTGCAGTTTACAATTTTCTGTAGACAAGATTCAAAGTGAACTTAAATCATTAGATGCATCCAAAGGACCTGGCCCTGACGGTATTCCCGCGGTTTTCTTGAAAAATACCTATGACACAATATGCGTTCCACTATATTTTTTATTTAATAAATGTGTCTCTAGTGGTACCTTCCCAGAGATCTGGAAATGTGCTAATATTATTCCGATCCACAAGTACGGCTCAAAAGATGACGTGTCTACTTATCGGCCGATTTCTCTGTTGTCGGCACTGTCAAAACTCTTTGAGAGACTGGTTCATAACGAGATCTACCCCGTCTTGCGCCATGTGATATTAAAAGAACAGCATGGGTTTGTAAAGGATAGGTCCTGCGTGAGTAACCTCCTCATTTTTACGTCACATTTGTTTAACAGCCTTGATAATAGGCAGCAGGTTGATGCGGTATATACTGATTTCCAGAAGGCCTTTGACAAAGTTGACCACAGGTTATTACTTGACAAGATTGCTTTTAATGGCATTAGAGGAAACCTGCTGCGTTGGTTTGCTTCTTATGTCACCAATAGGACTCAAAAAGTGGTAATAAATGGCTATGAGTCCAGTCTTATTCAGGTCACATCGGGAGTCCCACAGGATCCATTCTTGGACCATTGTTATTCATTATATTTATTAATGACATTAATTCCTGTTTTGTAAATTCTAAATTTCTCCTTTACGCAGATGATTTAAAGATTTATAAAAATATTACCAATCAATCTGACTGTATTGATTTTCAGATGGACCTTGATCGTTTCTTAGAATACTGCTCTTGCAACAAACTTCAGCTTAGTTTTTCCAAATGTCATAGTATTACGTTTACAAAAAAGAAACTAGTAACCAAATTTAATTATCATTTTGGCAACACTGACTTAATTAAAGTTACCTGTCTACGCGATCTTGGAGTCCAGTTAGACTCCAAGCTTCATCTCGATGCGCACGTGAATAAAATAATCAATAAAGCCTATCAAATGTTCGGTTTTGTAATGCGAGCTTCTAGAGAATTCCACCGCCCTTCCACTTATTTATATCTGTATAAGTCAATTATCCGGCCACAACTAGAGTACGCAGTGCCTATTTGGAATCCTTTCTACAAAAAATACGTAGAAATACTGGAACTAGTCCAGCGTAAATACCTCCGTGCGATGCACTACAGATGTTTTCGTAAAAGACTTTCCTACCAATTATTGCTTGAAAAGTATAATATCCTGTCCCTGCAATCTAGACGAACACTCCTTGAAATGATGACCCTCTTCAGTATATGCCGCAACAACTTTGACTGTTCTGATCTTGTGAATGGTTTGTGCTACCTGGTCCCTCGCTCAGTACACAGCAGAGAAGTGCGTTCACGGAACATGTTTGCAACTAATCTCCGTCATACCAATTCAGGTGCTCGCTCACCTATGCATCGGTTGGTTGACACTTATAATAAAAGGTTTGCATCAATTGATATCTTATTTCTAAGCAAGAACACTTTTCGACAACGAATCATTAACATTTTAAAAGAACGACCACTAGAGGTATAATACTCTGATCCTTAATGTAATTACTCCAGACTTTTTAATTTTATTTTTTTAACATGTTATTTGTGTTTCACATTCATATAGTGCACAAAATATATGTATATAATATATAGGTAGGTAAAAATATATAATAGATAGGTACAGGTAAAAAGTAATTCTGTAATTTAAATTTATCCTATGTTTGTATAGTTTGTAGCTTCAAGTTTGCCCCATTGTGTTTGCTAAGTACATTTATGGTAATCCGTGGCAACGTCGTGAGGAGTGTATTTGTTAAATCTATTATTTTACTCACCTGTGTTATATTTAATATACTGCTGTTTGTTGTCCTTGATAAATAAATAAATAAATAAATAAAATGTAGTTGATTAAGATAATTAGTTTAAATTAGAATGTCAAAATTGTAAAAGGGAAATTAAAGTACTAATTTATTGTTGCACGTAACTAGATGAGTAAAGAGAAGAAAGCCAAAAACAAAGGATTCAAATTAATCAAAAGGAATTTAGAGATTCGATAAGTGATTGTTTGGAATTCTTCGTTATTTGCATTGCCGGAATCTAATAATTCTAATTCGCTACTAATTGGCTAACTGTTCACATGTGACACAGATTTCAACGTAGATGTACATATGTCTAGTTGGTGAATAGTTAGAGAACGCAACGGACGAACAGACAGTAAGCGACGGAACCATTACTGACGGTAGATTTTATTCCTAAGATTAATTAAAAGATACGGCGCAGGCCCGCCGCCGTGCACCAGTGAAAACGTTACATCTCGGACTCTTGACGACCACGAAGCTTTCGAATAGATCGACATAGATCTGCCCGCGCAACAACTAGTCACTGCTATTTCCTTAATAAAACCAGCGATGTAATCTGTGTTTGTTTTAAAATACGACTAACGAGGTGTAACAGGTGCAGCGTTAGAAAATAGCCGGAGGCAGCAAGGGTTGCGTGCGGTAGACCAGTTATGCCAAGGAGACTCACTCGGACCGTTTTTGCAAATGATAGACGTTTTCTATCAAGTGTCGACACACGTTACTGAGACGGTGATAACAGTATTTTACATGGAATAGGAGAAAATGAGGGTCACATGGATGAAATACTCGGAAGCGATGCGAAACTCATAAACTATGCGTCTAGTGCGGATTTTGCTCATAAAACGTGTTCATACAGAATTTATTGCAAAAATGAATTCATACATACGGCGGGGAACGAAAACATGTTTGAATTATGTATGGGCTAGTGTATAAGTTATGTTCACGTGGGCGATCCTTATGCATAAAGATGTTATTATTTTGTCTTTACCTGTAAGTAGGCTCCTATAGTCGGTATAGGCAGTGCTCTATTCAAGTTCGTTAGCGTAATCTCCTCACTTTCTAATAGAGTCGTTGGTGGTATGCGATAAAATACAATTACAATATAAAATGAAGTTAAATTGCAGCCGTTGTGAAAGTGTCACTGATATAAACTAGGGTAGTTTGTGAACGCTTCTTTTACTACAAAACAGATGCAAATGTTATACTAATACGAAGACGGTATCTAATACAAATCTGTTTCATAATTTATATTAGCTTGAAATTATCTTTTGCATTTAACAGGGATTCGAATGAGACCCCATGCTGGAATGATTTAAGAATATCTCCCTCATTAGAACTGCTATATTATAAAATGCTCTCTGACACTCAACTAACGTACTATTACTTACACATAGTTATTCTAAAGTAACACTGTTAAACAAAACGAGTATGCAAATGAAACAAAGCTACATCTTCAACTAAAGGAAAAAGTTTACGTTATTAAATTCGCATGAAATTACTCGACACGACCAATTACGGCGTTGGCCGTTGCGGAATAACGACGAACGACTAAAACCTGAACAAGGAATAACGCCGTAGGACGAAAGAATGTGACTATCCTTGAGAATAACAGCTAAATCTAAACGACCTTGGAGTTGAATCCCAGTGCGTACTAACTTTCTCTACACAGACGCGGATGTCAATATCAAGGGGAAATTTTAACGTCCTTGGCATTTACGCGGCTGAACGATATTTTTATATAAATTTTCTTGTTGTTTGTTGCAGTCTCGATCGCCACTTGATAACGGAGCACGCCCAGCCGGCCGGTGCATTTCCTTGCGAACTCTGCAACAGAGCTTACAGCACTCGAGTACTGCTCCTGCGCCACCGTGCTCTCGCGCATACTGATATCCGAAAGTACCCCTGCGAGAACTGTCCTAAGGTGTGCACTGAATACTTTATGTAGATAGAAATATAACTTTAATTTAGAATAACGATTTTTTGTATTTCTGTGTCCTGAAAAAACATGGGTTTTAAAAATATGCTATTATACTTTAAATCTCTTTCTTAATTCAGTCTATCATTTACAAAATTTGCTTTAACTTTGATTACCTTTCATTATTCTATAAATTTAAATTTCCTCTAAATTGTTCAATAATGAATGGGTTCAGTTTTCCCTGGGTTTTAAATTTTCATTTAGTTGGGGTTTAGTTTAAGTAACCGGTGGTATTTGTTTCACCGTTTGCGAAACCTGATGTTATTTCAGGTATTTACCGATCCTTCCAACCTCCAGCGCCACATCCGCGCGCAGCACGCAGGCGCCAGGAGCCACGCGTGCCCTGAATGCGGGAAGACCTTCGCCACCTCCTCAGGACTGAAGCAGCACACACACATCCACTCCAGTGTCAAACCATTCCAGTGCAAGGTTTGCTTTAAGGTGAGCATTGTTTTATATTACATACACTATGCTTGTTAAAACTGCGGTCCTAATTATTTTAATGTAGTTTTAATGTTTTTAATAACAAACATATATTTCGATTTCATTACATAAAACGTAACGTTTATGTTAAAAAAACTAAAACAGATATCACCTAAAATTTTTAATAAATAACTTATTTTAGTAATATGTTCATTTTTATGTTTTTCACCTTTTCTAATGGTGTGTTTATTTGTGTTCCAGGCTTACACCCAGTTCTCTAACCTTTGCCGCCACAAGCGAATGCACATCGCTTGCAGAGCCCTTGTTGAATGCGGAAAATGCGGTCAGTCCTTCACGTCATACGCTTCTCTTACTAAGCATAAGAGATTCTGCGACACCGCTGCCGCTGCCTCCGTCAACCTCCGTGGACAACTCCCTCAGAGCCTACCCCAGATACCGTCTTTGCAAAACGTCGGGATGAATAACCCTAACAGCACCAACCCGTTCCCCATGTACAGGGGCCCCACTCTGCCTCTCCCTTACAACACCTTCGCTCACTACCCGGCTCTGTTCTCTGCTGCTGCCGCTGCTGCTTGCCCACCTGAGTTCCTCAGCCCACTGCTCTTCAACGTGCAGGGGGCCAGACTCGCGATGGAACACGACATGGCTATGTCAAACGCCAACTTGGTATCCAAACAACAAGAAGGCCGCTTGTCTGTCAAAAGTATGGACAGCTCAAACTCTATGGAAGACAACAAAAAACCCAAGGAATTGGATTTCGAAAACAAAAGGGACAGCTACAGCTCAGACAGAGCAACACCAAATAAATCACAGAGCCTTTACTCCAAGCAATCACCGCCATCAGGTGAGGAGGCATCTTCTCAACGCCGACCGTCACCAGTTTTGCCACTGCCTACACCGATTGTTCCATTCAATTTCTCAAGAGACGACATGAAGAGGAAGTCTCCGTTCAACTTCTCTCTCAAGCTCAATAACAACGACATTCAGGGTAACAAATCTGAGTCTCCACTACCTAAAGATTTATCGAAGAATAGTATTGTCGATGATGATAAGACTTCCGAATACTCTGATGTCGAAGAGGATGTAAAGAAAGATGAAGGTGACCAGCCATTAGATCTGTCGGTGTCAAGAAAACAGAATGATAAGGATTCTGAGCCAGAGATTGATGATCGTTCCTTTCGCAACTCAGTTAAATCTTATTCACCTCCTGAAAGCCCAGCTGAGAGGAGCAAGACTCCCGAGAATGACACAACAGATGTCGATGTGGAAGGAGTAGAACCTAAGAGAGAGGACTCGCCACCTCAGCTTGTATCACCACCACTTGCATTCCCCATGCCTGTTCATCCGCAGCACACCAATCTGATAGACGCCATGTACAGGCCTCGATTCCCATCTTTTCATTCTTCAGAATCGATTTTGAACTCTTCACACTCGCCCTATGTTCCGAGCCCATTCAATTTTTTATCCCCACTTCTCGGTACTGACGGACCCGACAGGCAACCTAGCGCATATGCTAAGTTTCAAGAACTTAGTACAGGATCAGGAAAGCTGCGTGACCGATATGCTTGCAAGTTCTGCGGGAAAGTCTTCCCAAGGAGTGCAAACCTGACTCGCCATCTACGAACACACACTGGCGAGCAACCTTACAAGTGCAAGTACTGCGAGCGTTCGTTCTCGATCTCATCGAACCTTCAGCGACACGTGAGAAATATTCACAACAAAGAAAGGCCTTTCCGGTGTCCTTTGTGCGAGAGATGTTTCGGTCAGCAGACGAATCTCGATCGTCATTTGAAGAAGCACGAGGCTGAAGGTGGAGATTCTCCCAGTTCTGCAGATACTGAAAGGGAGGACGCATACTTTGATGATATTCGATCGTTCATGGGTAAGGTGACGTGCTCCCCGGGCGCTCGGTCCCCGGCGGCGACACCCCCGCACGGAGCTCACGGCGCGCACACCGCGCACGGCCCGCGTCCCTCGCTCGCTATCTCCACATAGCCACCGACCTACCAGCTGCCACCGCCGCCACCGCTATGGACGCAGCCTTTCAACTGAGATACGTGCTAAACCTTACAGCAAATACACTGGAAACGACATAATAGTCTTGATACATTATCTAGTGATGCGGCCACATCCCAAGGCTCTTTGTTATAACGATTATGTCTTGTTCAGTATAAATGCTTCAAGGTTTGAAATATCATTCTCCAGTGAACTGAACAGTAATGTAGGGTCGTTGTAAATAAGTAAGCAGCTACAATTATTGAGGATACGAAGTAGTGTGGGTGTGTATTACGTACATAGTGATGTCTCTCTAAAGTTCACAACGAGAGCAGTATAATATTAAAGTAGATATGGATTCATTAAAAAATGTTCATCAAATCTATAGTTAAATTAATTGTAAAATTTGATTTGTGCTTTAGCTTCTTTAAAATACGCCTAAGTACTTAAATACGCTAGTGGCACGTAGAATGCGTTCTAGGGTCCTAAGAAGAGTATTTCATTACGGTTTTCAATTTGTTCGAAAAGGTTAGATAAAACTTCTTTATTGTAAAAAGGTTTGACTAGAGAAATATCTGCATTAATTTAAGCGACATGACAAATCACTCTAGTATGTATATTACATTATAATTAAATTAAGGAAATGTGTAGATTTGTTAAGAGAATCGTTTTATTGATAACTTAAATATTTGTTCCTAGTTCATATTTTGTGATTTAAGGTTGACTTAAAACGTATTTTCTATCATAATTGTACATAAACCTGTTTTGTCTGTTATCATGTAAAGTAGAGTAAATGATAATTAATTGATGTTTAAAAAATATCATGTAATTTGTTCGATTTTTGAGCTATTTCCAAATCGGAGCGTATGCTAATAGTAATTAGGTATATTTTATTTTTATCATAAATTATATTTTTTAAACACAGATTAATTTGACGTCGATAAAATATTGATACAGAAACACGGTATTGGTGATTAATTTCATTATATTTTGTAAATTTATAAAAATTACTTAAAAAAATATATTAATATGGAGGTTGCTAGTTAGTCGAAGGAAGCTACCAAAGTTTTTTATAAGTAACCCAAAATTTATTCGGAAATATTTATTTGGAAGTAAAAATAAATACGCAATTTATTCAGATGTAATTGTTAGTTATTTGCGTGATTAGAAAAATCAATTATTAATATAATATTTTTGTTAAATTTGTTATTTACACGATTGTTGTACATAGAAGGTTTGCGACACATGACATGCATATCATCTGTTTTATATAAAAAAATCGAGGCTCAAAGATTTAAGCGATACTTTATAACTATAAAACATCGTATTAAACTTAAACGTATCTTTAGTAAAATGTAATATACTGTAAGAAAAATATCTTCATAAGATTTTCTGCAAACTAATTTCGATCACTTGACTATTCTTTGCCTACCTTTAGGTTTAAGTAGTAACAATAAGCGATCCGTTGTCTTTGAGACTTTGAAGAGAAAAAAAAAAAGAATAGATGACGTCACACGACCTGTCATTTGGGATCTCCTTGCATCTATCCTGTGTTCAGGAGTTCATAGATGCATTGTAAGCTCTGGAGTCTTGTTATATATAATGGAAGATGAATGCAATACCTGTAAAGTAAGATATTTGTAATCATATCACTTGAAGGCACTAGTTCGTTAAGGTTTTAACGTTACACAATAAAGTTGTATGCTAAGTACACCTGTACCTATTTAATTTCAAGTTCAATTAAAAAATAAACTATTAAATATTGTAAACGCATTGAAAAATAAAACAAATACAATACATTTATTTTGTATTATTTTTGGGAACCCTTAAAAATTACTAATCACCATCGCGTTGAGTTACTTTGAATCAACGAAGCAATAATTGAATAACATAATAAATACACTATTTGTATTGACTATTAGCAGGAAACATTTTGAAGTACATTTATCAATTAACAATAAGAATCAATTACAAGCCAGATGCTGACTATTTGTCTATCTAAACAAAGAGAAAACTACTTAATGTTTTGGAAATAAATTATTAATGCTACACAACATACTTCGATAGAACTTGTAAAGAACATAACATGATGTCTAGTTCAATAGTTTATTATTCTCACAAGATAGAGAAAAATCCCATTAGGATACATAGGCTACAAAATCATGCTTTACCTATACACGACTATATGGTTTTTCCAAAGTAAGTGAAAATAAAACAAAGCTTTCTAAAATCTGATAACCTAACGTAATCCTTGAGTTTAATAAGACATTTAAATCAATAAGGGTCGAATTTTCCATCGCCAGATATATTGTAACTGAGGAATAACATTGAATAATAAATCATTCTTCCATACTAAAACTGTCAAATGTTAATTTCATTTTACAGTTAAGAATTAACTGATGATTGAAAAATCGACCTTAAGATATTTAGATTCATAACTCGAAGTAGTTGCAGTAACTGTAGGAATAAGCTAATCGTATCACAACACTTAAAGCCTAAACGTGGATTCACGCGGGACAATTCATTTATTTATTTATATGAATATTTATAAAATGCACAACACACAGAAAGTATATAGAAGAACGCATATAAATAGATTGGAGATATAAAGGTACTGCATATCCCCGTAGGAATCTCTTCCTGCAGTCCTTTGACAGGAAAAACAAATATAATTTTTTATTGTGCCTTATATACCGGCAATATCATCCCCTAAATTTGGTTATACAAAACTACTCTCTAACCATCGGAAATAAGGTCTATAATGTTGAGAGCGGTCACCGGTGACCGCTCGGGGATTTAAGGGTTGTGATAGTGATACAAAATGTGTAATACCTATAAGTATCAATCGTACCTACACATACACACAAAGCCTTACTGATTAATTTTTATAGAGAAACTACTGTCTAGCAAACTGAATGCCGGAGTAATAACGACACTCGAATTACACAAATATGTAATAAAGTTTAGTCGTGATGGACCTCTGCTGTCTGAGGGTAATGCTAGAATTCCCACGTCTGCACTTAATTGCCGGTAGATGGCGGTGACACGATTTTAAATATCATTACGTTAATCTTTTGATACGATGGATAAGGAGGATGTTAGTCATCGCGAGGAATTTTTGGAGTGTTTCCTTAAAATGTTCATATTTTGTTGGTTAGACAAAATGAGGTAGACATTTTGAAGTTTAACAGCTAGAGGATCAGTCAGTATTAACGGCTTCTTGAAACAAATAAAAATATTATTCACTGTATGAACTACTATTTACTTTCTTGAAGATAAATGATTTTGTTTATAAGAAGTACTGGTGCTAAATAGAACTTTTTCTACTTCTTCATACATACATATCTTACTATATAGAAAATTATAACATAACATCACACTATGCCTTTTATCCCCGGAGGGGTAGGCAGAGTCACACATTACGGAATTTAATGCCACTGTCATGTAAGACTGTCAGTTTTCACGATTTATGTTATGAGTCCCATGTAATAAGGAGTGAGCCTATTGCCATATACCGGGCACAAATCCAGACTCCGTGCTACTATTGAGATTTTTTTTAAAAGCCCAGTAATATTTTGTCCGACCCGGGAATCGAACCCTTTTGACGAGACAGTCGATAGAAAATTATGTTCCACTATAAGCTCGCTACCTATACCTATATCTTGCTATCTGTAAAATAAACAACTTTACCTATCCGTCTGGGTAATACTTGTAAAGTACCTACACCGCTACCAATTCCTTTGGGTAATAACGCACTAACCGTAAATTCTTAAACCTTCATCATGTTTTCAAAACAATTTAAAATCTCAGAATAAAGCTACCTAGTCACCGAAAAAATTAACAGACAAATCTGTTTGTCTTGGAAATTTTGACCATCAGAATTCTAAAAGACATCAGGTAATTGCGTATTTACCGTTTTGGACAAATTCGCTAGTGCTATGGGAATACCCTTTTAGTTTTTAGGTAAGCCCTGTAGCGTCATTTTTGTAAAAACCCTGAGTATTTTGTAAAATGCACGGGTATTTCCGTTTCCGTGTGATAGGTGGCGTTGATAGTCTCTGTTATTGCTTATTGGGAAAAATAAGTGGAAATTTTAGATTGCGTTTAAAGTTCTGCCTTAAAGTTTTATTTATTTTGGAGGAATTTTGAGTAGTGGGTTCTTATAAAGTATTGATTTAATCATTTTTCTTTTCGTTCAGACTAAGTTTACATAATATATGCCGTGTTATATACCTTCTCAAGAAATGTTTTTCTTACGGTTTTGTGTCGTATTGGTTCTCCAGTAAAATAGGCATTTCTTAATTAAATAAAAATCTACATTATCTTACACAAAGGTCTACCAAGCTACACAGAATAATGCGACTGAGTTAAATTGTTACAAGCAAAGATATCACAAGTTATATTAAATGCTTCGATTAATTGCGAATCCACCAATGATTACTTGTGTCTAATGTGAATCGTGAGTTTAAAAGGACACGATGCTGAAGAGCCAATCAGAAGCGTTTTCCGATGTCTACAAACACGCTATTGGTGAAGACTTTATCAAAAACATTCATGTAATACGTACTGTAGACACTGTTGACCTACAAACTATAAACTTTGCACGAGCCGTTACAAAATGTAAACGTTACATTCGGTTAACCGAACATTTACGAAAATAGCCGAACAAGTTTTCTCACAATAATAGCTTTTAAAGTCAATATTATGAGGTAAGAAGTAAAAATTCGAAAGTTATTACACATGACGTTCTTGAAAAATGTAACTTCAATAAAAACTTTGCATTCGATCCTCAATATTAAATGTCAAAAATCAGATCACTGGCGCAAGGGTCAGTAAAAAAGGTTAACCTTTTGGTAGATTTTAATCACTCTTTATTATATAAGTGATAACCTCGAGCGAGCGGCGTTATCAGTGAAAGCAAGGACGGAACAAGGACACAGATAGTGCAATTACACTCATTATCGAGCGGCCGGTCGCGGCGCGCGCGCACCTCGGTACCCTATAATAGAGGATTAAGTGGCCGCTTGAGCGTGGTCCCTGACACGCCTCATTGTCTAGGATAAGAAACCGCACCTCAAGCGAATTACGTTCATCTACCGCATCTTATAATGATCAATTAATTGATAGTATAATTCAATCAAATAGAAAATTAACTTTAGAATAAACTCATTTTCTAGCTAAAAGTATGAATTCTCTAAATCTTAATAAACGTTGAACATAAATAAAATAATGATGTGACCACGCTGCATTTGCTTCGCGTACATTCTCAATAAGGTTTTGCTTGCTAGGAATCTCGCGACACTATCGCGACATGTAGTCACTGCGCTGCCCACTCCATGTCTTAGGGTTAGGTTACATGGTATGGACAAAGGGAATGAAATGGTGTATTTACAACACAATACTAATAAGGTTTTAAGAAATTATAATTGGGATTTACTTATTATTTAATAATGAAAACGTAAAATAGACGATGCTGTTTGTACAAAAAAATCCTTATATTTTATGATATTTAAACAAACACGATGTGTGACGTGATGATGTGTTATGTTAAATTCTCATGGCTGACAACATTCCTATTAAGGTGTCATAGTTATCACTTCCATTAGCAGTACCTATGGAGATGTTAATTTATGTTTTTATTGCTGCATCAAAGGTTTACTGCCAATTACGGCGATAATTATAA